GGCAATTCCACAAAGTGTTCTAAGGGAGCATCATACTGCTACTAAGAAGGCATGCATTTCTTCTAGCAAACTCAATGAGTGGCCAACTAGCCATGCTAAAATTACAAGGACAAGCCTTACCTTCAAATATGCCACATTTCCCTTAATGTTCTTGAGAATCAGGGTTTATCTGGGAAGGTTCCATAATACACTTTTTGTGTTTTCAAGGACATTGGTATTTTTTCCTTGTTGGAAGCTAGAAAGATAAAGCGGAATGGAAAGAGCATGCAAGATAAAAGCAAATGACTCTGCAAGACTGCTAGGCAACAATCAAGTATTCATAGTGGCCATTCTTATTCAAGGCCAAGCTTTAGCCAGAAAGGCTCTGCTGATAACATCAAAGCTGAGGCAATTCCTTCCCCATCATTCATAAAATATATCCTTAGTTAGACAATTAAAAAAACCTCATGGCCACCACAGTTATAAGCAGAACAATTAGGACTTGGTTCCTATAAAGCACAAAGAGCTATTAGAGGTATTGATGAGAATACTAGTTTTCCAGCTTGTAAAAGTAGAAGACCATTATGCCTAACCTGCATGCCCATTTGAATGATTCACAAATCAATATCCGTAAATTCATTATGTGCAAATGTCCACAGTATAATTACAAAGCAGAATGGGCTTAAATTGTGCTATTCATGTACAATTCCCCCAAATAGGGTTGAACTGTCTTCCCCAAATCTAGTCACTGCAGAACACCTTGGTGATAACAATAGCCCTTCCTTGGTGACTTTAAGGTAGTCTTCTACTTCTTGCTCCAATTTATCAGAGAACAATGCTATTTGTACCTCAGTTGCTGATGACTACATCCTGTTGAACTTGTTGTATCATCACAAATGCACCAGATGGACTGATTTTGTTAATGATTATAACTGACATACAGCTTACCTAAAATATGCTTAGATGTTTAGCTGCTTACTCATACATTTACCCAGTTGCCTGCTCTTCATAACAACTTCTATTTGCTCCCTACTGTGGCTTTACATGACTCTCTATCATCTACAGAGGAGATGACTAAGGAAAAAAAAAAACTCTGTAATGCTGCTGTCATGGAATATTGCATGTTAAGAGCCAAGGTCCCAGATTCACAAATTATTTTACAGTATTTGAAATCCTCTTATTTCAAGAGACTTGGAAATAGGTGACCACTATATAAATGGCTATAATTCCATATAGCCTCCTGCTGTTTGGGGGACTGGCTGTGTACATAATTGAAAGGTATTATATACACATACCGGTATAAGGAAAGGTATCATTTTACATAAAGCTAAACATAGTATCTCTCCTGGCTAGGTAGCTTTGGATGAAAATGGAATACTAGTATCCTGGATGAAAGCGGAAGATTATCTCTAGGATGCTGCTTTGTAGGGAAAGAGATGTTAACCATGCTACAGACTGAGATTGCGAGGTTTTTATTCCAATCCTAGTAATCAATAAATAGATGCAGAATCCAGGGAAAGGGCTTAGTTTTAGATATTAAATAAGAATGTCCTGTGGACATCTAATATATGGAGAGAAGATTCTAATGGCATAGTTGGGTAATGGGTAAAATTAAGAAATATTAAATATTAATTAATATGAGAATCAGATATCATCTTTATCATGAAGGTGATAATTTGCTATACTATATCTTTCTCATCATTCAAGAAAATAAAAGATCCCATCAAAATATACACTAGACCTGCTGGCCAAAGCAGGACCCACGAGTAAAAGCCACCTTAACATAAATGAAATCCTGATTTAAAAGGATTGTTGAGGAGTAAGAATGAGACAACCTTATATACTTGGCTTTATGGGAAGCAAACATCATATACCCCTTTAAGGAAATGTTTCATGAATGAATGAAAAGTAAAAAAAAGTAAAACAATCATTGCAATTCTGAAATGGCAATTAAGTCAATCTGTACTGACAAACATCCAAGCCCCAGGATCACAAAGAGAACAAATACAGAAATATCTATTATAAAAGACAAGGTTCTATGTTCAAAGATGTACTTCTCCCATTTTGCAACATAGAAAGAATAATGGCAACCTCAGAGCAGCCAATAATTTTGAAAACTGATGAGATGCAGGGATTGGAAGCCAGTATGGTCTATCGTTAGGAAGCCAGTATTCTGTGGACAGCAGCTACAATGACTAATGGCTGTTTACAAAGGAATGAAGAATATATTTGTCTAAGCAACCAGGGAATAACCAAATTGCATACTGATTCTTCCTGACAAAGTTAAGAACTGGGTGAAAAGTAGATACAGAGGGAGTGCACAAAGCAGGAGTTCTATATGATGCAGTAAAAAGGCAGCTCACGAGATGACAGACCTGCACAAAAACAATAGCAGCAGTTACTGTCCACCAATGCAAAAATATCAATTGCCGGACAATTCCGTATTATAAACATAGAACATGTTATCATATGGTATTTTCATTTGTCTGATATAAAGTCATATTTGAGAGGTAGTCTGCAACGTTTGTATCTGCTCCTGAAATATGAACTATTGTACACAAATACAGTGAGGAATGCACCAAAGTTGCAGAGACAAGTTTAGATAAAAATCACAAATATGTTCCATCTTGCTTACTGATATATTATGATACTGTTGCTCAAAAACTGAAGAACATGGTATGAAAGGCCAGTTCTGAAAAAACAAGACAGCAATTCTACAAACTACAATCAATTTTGTAAAATTAAGAGGCAAGTTTGTCACAAGGATTTCAGGAGATGGTTACCTGGAGAGGTTCGGGTAACACTCAGACCAATTGTTGAGGTATTCATAATGACTGGGTGGAATATTGGGCAGAGTATAAAGCAGCAGCAGACCGTAAACATGTGTCCAAATCTGAGAAACTCTCACACATTCCAACTTCCACACACATCTCAGATGACAGCTAGCAGCATATGAGAATGAAACCTAGGGAACTAGATAAGTAAGCAAAGCCTAGTGAATTGAGTCACCTGTGGAAAATACACTGAGAGCTAAAATTCTTCAAGGCAGAGATGCTGAACATGTAAGTAGCTAATAGCTACCTAAGACAGAATAAGAACAGGAAAGCAGGATGTCCACAAAGTCATCACAAGGATAGGAGAAAAGGACATAGAGTTTACAGTACATCTAGGAGAATATATACTGTATGGGCAACAGCTTTAAAGGTCAGAAGGTAATCAAATGTTTAAACTGACTTCAGTCTGCAATCACATGATTGCAATTTGGGCGCTTGGCAACTAACTCACATTTACATTGGTTGCAGCTTCTTATAGTCAATTTGTCACCTTTCAAATTGGAATTTCTTGATCTCTGTGAATGAATTCAAGCCATGAAAGTCCATGAATAGTCATTGTGCCGATAAAATAATGGTTAATAAAATGTTAGATTTTATTACTGTTTTGAACATTGTTGGGAACTGCATCTTTTCAGATGCTAAACTCTCACTTTCAAAGGACAAATATTCCGTTATGAGCTTGGGTTTCATGTGTTGATTTCATAAATGTAAGTAATTCATGTAAGCACATGTAAAGGATTCAGGTTAAATATATGGTTACCTTAATATTTTGTTCCATTCAATTACTGCTTATGAAGTACATACACTTTAGAGATAAAATACTTATAACTTCTAATTTATCTGGAAGAATATGAGCAATCATATTCCTTTTTTCCCAAAGGGAAAAGCTGCCAAACTATTCTAATGATTTTATCTTCAAAAAGAAGGCAGTTGTAAGTTAGGCTTTTTTCTTCCTAGCACTCTTCTTCCTTTCCAATATCTAGAGTCAAAAATAATTAGTACTGCTTCCTCCAGGAAATGTCCCCAACAAAAGAATTTGAAGAAAGATACAGAAAGAGAATGTAGATTTTTCATAAACATGATAAAGTGTGCTCAACTTCTTGGAGGTAAGCGGCTCTGAGGCTGGGCCCAGCTAAACATCTTCACGGATTGAAGATCTGTGTCACAGATAAATGTAAAGATAAAGATAAATATTGCTGCTGATGCGTGAGAGTAGGTGAGATGAGCAGCAGTCAAATAAATAAACAAGCAAGCAAGCAAACAAACAAACAACAGAAGACTTAGTCCAATGTACTTTTTTCATAAGACTTCTCTACATAGGATTTAAAATCTTCAAGGTAGAGAGAAAGGATTGATATCTTATCACTTAAACTAGGAAGGACAATAATGGTGTTTTAGAACCTCAGCGGATGAATCTAATTTTTTGAACCATTATTAGTAGTTAATAGTTAGAAGTTACTCCTCAGAACCTGTAAGAGTAATTCAGAACTAAGCAAGAAGAGGGCAAATAGCAAGGAAAAAAGAAATGAAAATACTACAAAAGTCTTTTTCATTATCAGTTCACATGCTAATATAACTATTGGAAGCAGTTGTTAAAATGAATTGGAGGATCTGAAGGCCTTGATATTACTTCAAAAATCTTTTAATGCCTTTATATTCAAGAAGGAGTAGGGTTGTGAGAAAAATCAGTTTTCAGATGATGGAACAGTTTAAGACAATTGAGACCTATGGAATGTCGCTTTGCAGCAGCCTGCTATTATTAGACCCACAGCGGTCTTTGAATCTCAAAATGCAAATGTTTCTTCTAACTAAGACCATTATTTTATGTAGATAAGAGTAAGAAGTAACTTGAGATTTATTACATTATTATTTATAAATATATATCTTATATCTTCTATTACATATGTATGCATGTGCCTGCATCATTTTTGCCTCATTCTGAAATGTATAAATATGCATCTCTTTGTCTGTAGGAGGGTCTTTCACAATAGTTTTAGAAGAGACCCCTCTAGGACGAACTGTCTAATAAACAATGCAGCTTCGATTATTTGTTGTTTTGATTCCACAATATCATAAAATCCTCCTATTAATATTCAATTAATTTAAAGGCTTAGGGTTAAAACTATGAAAAATATAATTATGTTTGCACATTTACATTATTAGAAACATGATAAAATCAATACTTACTAAAACTTCTCAGTAAAATTTTCACTAACAGGCAATCATGATGTAGCAGTGTTCGCAAAAGCAAGTTCCAGTTACAATATGGCTGGGATAATAGTAGCTTCAGATGACCCTGAGTTGTCATTTCCCCAGCTGATGGAGTTCTTTCAAAATGAAAAATACATACAGAATAATATATTTAATTTACCTGTGAAATTAATAGCCTTAAAGCATAGGTTAATGCTAATTTCTTTAAACTCTAATTCCTCAAAGTTTGCTGAATGCTTTCATGTCTGCTTACTATGAGGCTGTTGGGGGAAGGAATTACATTTATCTTAACTAGCTAAAAGCAGGTTAACATTTGCCCAATGAATAATAAATCTATAATGGTTACAAGGCAACCTCACTTATTGTCTTTATTGGTACTAATAATTCTCTTGTTTCATGAGACAAACATTGTTTTGATGCTTATATAAATAAGAAATCTTTTAGTAGAATTCAGTGTTATTTTTGTTTAGAATTATTGCCATAAATATTTGAAATGAAGTCTAAAGTCATAATTAAAGCAGAATTACAGCATAAATATATATTTAGTCATAGAAAGAAGTACTTATCGAAAATATCTATTTTCAGTATTAGAAGAAGCTATTAAAGACACGTGCTTAATAGACATCTGCCTCTACAATAAGAATGCTTCATGGAGCATATTTGGGAATATTTTATCTTTAGCTGCAGTATGTCCTGCAATATTGGATGAAGGCATATAGAAATTCTCTATAGTAAAACAAATAAATAAAGAGTTGCAATTTATTTAAACAAGGTTTATGTAAGAGAAATTCCCAATAGACTGATTTCCTGAGTAAATTCTTCTAACATAATGGAAAGAAGGAAAAATATATAATGGTTGGTTACAATTTTAAATGAACCTTTTTTGGCCTCGTTTTAGGCTTTTAATTTCTTGGTTAGAAATAAATTGTACTATATAATACAAAACTATTAACTGTAACCTTTTAGCATATCTTACAATTAAACATACAATTATCCTAACACATCATTCTGCATTGCACATTTGCAAAATATATTCAATACAAAGGCTATTTATTAGACAGCTGCTTCATATCACAATACATATTTTTTCATATGCCTTTATTTAGATATTAAGTAAATGAATAACTTAACATTATAACAATACCTAAACACCTATTCATAATTCAATACCTATCATAAAATACAATTTAACAGCAAATTGACCTTATATTTATTAATGTGAAAAGAGCAGGATCTTTGTAACATGGAGTTCATACAAACTTTTATTATAGCTAACCAAATGGAGTGTTACTTTCAAATATTTATCAATTGCTCTAGACTCTTAAAGCACAGTGCAAATTGAAATGTTCAGTCAGTCACTGTGTTAGTACTAGTTAAGCTACAGAAAACTTTTCCACTGCTCATATGGAGAAACATATGGTACTTCACCTTCCAAGCTCATATAGCCACAAATATAAGACTAGCCACTCCCACATAGAGCAGTCGATTAACCACATATAAAATATGACATGAATAAACAATTCTGGTAGGGAGGAAAATTGTGATTTGCATCCATCTGAATAAAACACTGTTGCAGTTGAAAACTAGCTCATAGTGCCACATACAAAGATTTCTGGCAGAATTAACATCTTCTATATACTCTTTACAAAATGATGATGATGATTTAGCTAAGCAGAATTACCTAATCCCAAATTGGGGCTTTATTAAATTACATAATATAATTATTGAGATTTTCTTTTAGAGCAATGCAATTGTATAAAGCAGAAGAGAAAAAAAACTAAAAATCACAACTAGAAAACATGAATAATAAAGCTAAACATCTTTTTTCTTTCATAATACAAATGAAAAAAAAATCTAGTATTTAATTAGAAATTAAAGATTATTAGGAAGGGACACAAAATATTGTTGAGAAGCCCAAACAGATTTTGAAATGAATGTGAGAGGACTTTGATCCAAAGTTAGAAAAGAAATGGCAGTACAGCTGGTAGCATATGTCTCATATGTAAATTGTTATTACACTTACTGAAACAGCAAGAAAATTATGCACTTGCTTTTAAACATGCCATTTTCTAAAAATACCAAACACGAACAAAGCAGTATATGTAAGCTTTAGTAGCTTTACCAATTCCCAAGATTGCTACTTTTTCAACGTTAAATCAAGTACAAAAAATAAATATAAAAACAATTGCTGTATAAAATTTGTCAAGAACAAGTTTTTAAAGAAACTAGACAATGAAATATATACTTTAATAAAATGCTTCAGAGTGGTATAATTCATTTCAATTTATCAGTGAAAGCAACAATATGGAACGCAGACATGGATTCAAGTCTTGTCTGTATTACAAAGATACTTACTTTAACAATGAAGAAGAAAACTCTGACATACCAGATAGCCAGTGCAATGGTTGGTAAACAGCTTGCTCCAAAATATCTGAAGACAAGTCATCAAAAATGCTTTGAACTGTTCTGAAAAAAAAAGCAATTCAAAATCATAATTTATCATATTCCTTTGAGAGGCAATGGAGAGAAAATAGGCAACAGCTTCATGTTTAATGGAAATATTTGGGCTTACTGCCATGGTATTGCATTTCAATTCACTTCACTGTCTCACTTTGCATGCTGTAGAACATCAGAGGATCAACCAAGGTAAATAATGGCTTTTATGGACCTCAGGGCCCTATAGAAAAAGATATAACACTTGTTGCATAAGGAGAACTCTGAGTGCAATTCTTACAGCCAGACTAAAGTGAAAGAAAAAAGACAGACCTGGCTCTGTTTTTTTTTTTTTTTTTTTGCTTCATTCTTTTCTCCCTCAATTACATTCCAGCTAGACTGATCAGGGAGTCCAGCAGCCAGACCAAATGATGAGGTGCATCCCAAAAAGGATACTTCTGTGTGATCAGAATTTAGCTAGTTACCAGTAGCAGGGACAGTGCTCAATGAGTAAATCAAGGGAGAGACTCTTTTAGGGAATTCACCTTCAATCTATACCCATCTCTAGTGCTTCACTGGCTCATCTGGTTTCATTTTCCTTCTCTGCTGATTGATAATGCATTACTTTAGTTAGTAGAAGTTCTTTATATATAATATATGCTATAGCAGCTGCCTCATGTCTCAAAGCTGGGGGAAGCATCTGTGAAAGTATCTGATATCAAGGAAAAATTCTTATTAGGATGGTGTTATTCTTCAGTATTATGTGACAAGGTGAGAAGCGATCTTGTAAGTTTCAGCACTGGTGTGAAATTATGAGTTGCCTAAATAATGATCTAATAGATGCCTCATAAAATTTAAATTGTTGAAAATCTCCTTAAATTACACATGGTATCAAGATTCATGTATTTGGACTATTTTTTTAAACTCACAAAAATACTTTTAATACTAAGATTTTTTTTTTTCAACAGGAAAGATACTGTATTTAGTATATGGGCTAAATAAAAAGTTTCCTTTTACTGAACCTGACTCCTGGTGACTTCATAGATGCCCCATTTGTTTTCTTTGAAATAATAAAGAAATACTGCAAAGTGAGTATTTTTGGCACAGTTATCTATCCTGTTTTCCAGTGTTCTGGGGTGTTGTTGTTGCTGTTGTTAATTGCGAAGTCGTGTCCGACCCATCGCGACCCCATGGGGGGTCCTCCAGGTTTTCCTGTCCTCTACCATCTTCTGGAGTCCATTTAAGTTCACACCTACTGCTTCAGTGACTCCATCCAGCCATCTCATTCTCTGTCGTCCCCTTCTTCTATTGCCCTCAATCTTTCCCAGCATTAGGCCCTTCTCCAGTGAGTCCTTCCTTCTCATTAGGTGGCCAAAGTATTTGAGTTTCAACTTCAGGATCTGGCCTTCTAAAGAGCAGTCGGGGTTGATCTCTTCTAGGACTGACCGGTTTGAACGCCTTGCAGTCCAAGGGACTCGCAGGAGTCTTCTCCAGCACCATAGTTCAAAGGCCTCAATTCTTTTGCAGTCAGCCTTTCTTATGGTCCAACTTTCACAGCCATACATTGCAACTGGAAAAACCATGGCCTGGACTATGCTGTCTAGATTTGCCATAGCTTTCCTCCCCAGGAGCAAGCGTCTTTTAATTTCTTGGCTGCAGTCCCCATCTGAGGTGATCTTGGAGCCCAGAAAAATAAAATCTGTCACTACCTCCATTTCTTCCCCATCTATTTGCCAGGAATTGAGAGGGCCGGATGCCATGATTTTGGTTTTCTTAATGTTGAGTTTCAAGCCAACTTTTGCACTCTCCTTCTTCACCCGCATCAAGAGGCTCTTTAGTTCCTCTTCACTTTCTGCCATTAGTGTGGTATCATCTGCATATCTTAGGTTGTTGATATTTCTCCCGGCAATCTTAATTCCAACTTTTGTTTCATCTAGCCCTGCCTTTCTCATGATGTGCTCTGCATATAAGTTAAATAGGCAGGGCGACAGTATACAGCCTTGCCGGACTCCTTTTCCAATTTTGAACCAATCAGTGGTTCCGTGTCCAGTTCTCACTGTTGCTTCTTGACTCGCATATAGGTTTCTCAAGAGACAAATGAGATGGTCTGGTACTCCCATCTCTTTAAGAACTTGCCACAATTTGTTGTGATCCACACAATCAAAGGCTTTTGCATAGTCAATGAAGCAGAAGTAGATGTTTTTCTGGAACTCCCTAGCTTTCTCCATGATCCAGCGTATGTTGGCAATTTGATCTCTAGTTCCTCTGCCTCTTCGAAATCCTGCCTGTACTTCTGGTAGTTCTCGATCCACATACTGCTGGAGTCTAGCTTGTAGGATTTTAAGCATAACTTTACTAGCATGTGAAATGAGTGCAATGGTGCGATAGTTTGAACATTCTTTGGCATTGCCTTTCTTTGGAATTGGAATGTAAACTGACCTTTTCCAATCCTGTGGCCACTGTTGAGTTTTCCAAATTTGCTGGCAAATTGAGTGTAGCACTTTTACTGCATCGTCTTTTAAGATTTTGAATAGCTCAGCTGGAATACTGTCACCTCCACTAGCTTTGTTGTTGCTCAGATTTTCTAAGGCCCATTTCACTTCACATTCTAGGATGTCTGGTTCGAGGTCAGTGACCATCTCATTGTGGTTATCTGGGATGTTAAGCTCATTTTTGTATAGTTCTTCTGTGTAGTTTTGCCATCTCTTCTTAATCTCTTCTGCCTCTGTTAGGTCTCTGCCATTTTGGTCCTTTATCATGCCCATCTTTGCATGAAACGTTCCCTTCATATCTCCAATTTTCTTGAAGAGATCTCTGGTCCTCCCTATTCTGTTGTTTTCTTCTATTTCTTTGCACTGTTCATTTAAGAAGGCATTCTTATCTCTTCTAGCTACTCTCTGGAATTCTGCATTCAATTGGGTGTATCTTTCTCTTTCTCCTTTGCCTTTCGCTTCCCTTCTTTCCTCAGCTATTTGCAAAGCTTCCTCAGACAGCCATTTTGCTTTCTTGCATTTCTTTTTCTTTGGGATGGTTTTAGTTGCTACCTCTTGTACAATGTTGCGAACTTCCATCCATAGTTCTTCAGGCACTCTGTCTATCAGATCTAATTCCTTAAATCTATTTGTCACCTCTACTGTATATTCATCAGGAATATGATTTAGTTCATACCTGAGTGGCCTAGTGCTTTTCCCTACTTTTTTCAATTTAAGCCTAAATTTTGCAACGAGAAGCTCATGATCTGAGCCACAGTCAGCTCCTGGTCTTGTTTTTACTGACTGTATAGAGCTTCTCCATCTTTGGCTGCAGAGCACATAGTCAATCTGATTTCTATGTTGACCGTCTGGTGATGTCCATGTCTAGAGCCGCCGGTTGTTGGAAAAGAGTGTTTGTTATGACCATCGTATTCTCTTGACAAATTCTATTAGCCTGTGCCCTGCTTCATTTTGTACTCCAAGGCCAAACTTGCCTGTTATTCCGGTTATCTTTTGGCTTCCTACCTTAGCATTCCAATCCCCCAGGATGATAAGGACATCATTTTTTGGTGTTAATTCTATAAGGTGCTGTAGGGCTTCATAGAACCGGTCAATTTCATCCTCTTCAGCACCAGTGGTTGGGGCATAGATTTGGACTAGTGTGATATTGAATGGTTTGCCTTGGATTCGAATTGAGATCATTCTGTCATTTTGGGGATTATATCCCAGTATTGCTTTTCCTATTCTTTTATTGACTATGAAGGCTACTCCATTTCTTCTGAGGGATTCTTGCCCACAGTAGTATACCTAATGGTCATCTGAGTTAAATTCACCCATTCCTGTCCATTTTAGTTCGCTGATTCCTAAGATGTCGATGTTCAGTCTTGTCATCTCTTTTTTGACTATGTCTAGTTTGCCTTGATTCATGGATCTTACATTCCAGGTTCCTATGGAGAAAAAATCTTTAAAGCATCGGACTTTCCTTTCACCACCAGATATATCCACAGCTGAGCGTCCTTTCGGCTTTGGCCCAGTCGCTTCATTCTTTCTGGCGCTACTAGTACTAGCCCTCTGCTCTTCCCCAGTAGCATATTGGACACCTTCCAACCTGAGGGGCTCATCTTCCAGCATCATATCTTTTTTCCTTTTAGTACTGTTCATGGGGTTTTCATGGCAAAGATACTGGAGTGGTTTGCCATTTCCTTCTCCAGTGGATCACATTTTGTCAGAACTCTCTGCTATAACCTGTCCGTCTTGGGTGGCCCTGCACGGCATAGCTTATAGCTTCATTGAGTTACGCAAGCCCCTTCGCCACGACAAGGCAGTAATCCATAAAGGGGGTTCTGGGATAAGGGGACTTAATCTTCTGAAAGAAATTATTTCGTAAATGAGAGACTGCAAAGTGAGCAGAATGGTGCAAAAATGGACAGCTGCTTAGAAACCCTAAGTTCCCTCATATTTGATGTGATACTAAAACAAGTGTTCCATCCGAAGTACAGGTAATCCTTGACTTACAACAGTCTATTTGGTGACCATTCAAAGTTACAATAACACTGAAAAAAATGACTTATGACCATTTTTCATAGTTATGACCATTGCAGCATCCTCATAGTCATCTGATCAACATTCAACCAATTGGCAATTGACTCATATTTATGACAGTTGCAGTATCCTGGGGTCATATGATCACCTTTTGTAACCTTCTAACAAGCCAAGTCAATGGGGAAGCCAGATTTACTTAACAACTATGTTACTAACTTAACAACTGCAGTAATTCACTTAACAAGTGTGACAAGAAAGGTCATAAAATGGGGCAAAACTCAATTAACAAATGTCTCACTTAACAATAGAAATTTTGGACTCAGTTGTGGTCATAAGTTAAGGACTATCTGTATTAGCAGACTGATATTTAAGCCAACTTTGGGGCACAGGGAACAGCTAAATGCTTCTCCACCAGAGAGAAAATGATTAGCTTTTCATTGAGAGGGAGTGGAAGTGGGGATGAGGTAATCTTGTCTTACCAGTCCCCTAATCATCTTTGTTGCTCTTCTCTGTACTCTT